GGGCGCCATCTGGCGCTGTCTGCTTAGTTTAGATTTTTTTTTTTTTTTTTACAGAAATGTCGTTGGCATAAGCCAATGGCCACTGCAGCCTGCGCCAGCTTGGCTGGCATCCCCCCCTACCCCACCGATTTACAGACCCATGTTCAATTCCCTTAGGGGAATCTTAAAAAAATTGGGTCGTTTCTTGAGTTATGCATGTCATCCTTGCGCAAGGGCCATGCTGCAGCCGCGCGGCTGTTTTCAGCCGTGAGATCTGTCGATCTCCCGGCCGAAAATGGCCACGCTTCATGCTTTCAAAAACGGGCTGCTCTGAAAAAGGAGCTAGCCCAGGAAGTGTGTCGTCAGGCTCGATCCCAGCGTCTGATGGGTGATAGCTTGATGTTGTAACCTACTAGGCTAGCTCCTATTCACGGAAGCTAGACCCGCAACTCTTCTATTTGAAGAGTTGCTGCCCAGTAGGTCACCCAGCCTCAGGACTAGGCAGCCCCAAACTGCCTCGCCTTGACAAACGGTCGTCGCCCCACCATCTAACCGGTTGGGGCTTAGCCCGTGGGCCCAATAAGCCACCACTATGATGTACTTAGGCTCTGAATCGCGCGGCTGTTAAATAGGATAGGATTTAGACTGAGTATTCCATCGTCAGTATGCCCATCCGTATTCGCCAGACGTGGTTGGTGACCAACCGTACCACCGCTATAGCATGTCGCAGGCGTTTGGACTTAAGCAAAAATTTAGTCCCTCAGCCGTAGGTTCCGTCTGAATAAACGTTTGGCAACGTCAGTCTCATTAAGTCCTTCAATTCAACGAAACAGTCGGACAGCGTCCGACGTTTAAGATCCCCGGCAAATACCCTTGTCAGGGTATTTGCCCCGACATGGCCGCCACTTATGACGGCCCATTATTTTATTTTTTGTCGAGGCTAATCGAGCCCTTCACAAAAAAATAAAACAAAAATAAAAATTCAGCGGTAGGGTCTCGACAAGATTAGCCACGGAAAGGCCAGGGCTAATAAGTTTAATAACCTGCAGCGCAGCCTCTTCCCGTTAAGGAGAGCGGACTGAGCCGTCGTTCACTCAGGTTGGCCTAGTGGGGCATGTCTTATCCCACAGGTCAGAACATGAGACCGGAGGGCCTGAATGTTGGGCCCTCCGACAGCGGGCCTGAATATTCACTAGAGGCCACAATTTGGCATTTTCCATATGTGGGTACTAAGGCTGTTGCCGCACGCCAGTTGGTTGAATGGAAGCGTGAGCCTCCCTAAGCTGCACCGTACAGTTTGGCCCAGGCCTTGGTAGTTGCGCCTGGCCACATATACACACAATGCAGGGTAGATACATCACGAAGTGGCTACGGGCCTACGCAAAAGCAACATTGTCAATGTACATACCCCGGGTCCTGTGCAAATGCAGCAAACGGCCCAAGTCAGGAAACTCAAGCCATGCCCGACTGTAAAGGGCCCAGGCCCTCAACTGCAGCATTGGGCCTGGGCGCAGGGTCTGGGGCCTGACTGGAAGCTACCGGAAACTTCCAGCCAGGCTACACGCAGCCAAACAGAGGCTGCCACTTCCATATAGGGAAGGAGGCAGCCGAAGCCCGATATTCTGGCCCACACATGCATTGCGGTCACATTGCTGTGTTGCTCCGCGAGAGGCTGCGTGCTGCGTTAGCGGCGAGGGCGCGTGTGAGGTGAGAGGGGTGCTGCCGGGCAGCGGAGCGCGAGCAGCCATAGCCGGGCTGCAGGGCGCTTGGGGGTAAGGGCGATTGGTGGTCTTCAGGAAGGAGGCAAGTGTGGGTGGTCAGGGTATGATGAGGGGAGACGAGATACGTACATGGTGCATGAGGAAGGTCGATTATGGTGTTGACGTCATGTACATTGGTCTTCAAAGTTGAAGTGAGCCTGTTGCGTGAATGCTGATGTAGGTAGGATAGGCAGGTAGTGTAGGTTGGGCGTTGGGCGCCAGACAGACAGGAGCAACATTGGATACTGTGTTGGTGTGGCCTGAGGGCTTGAACATTGGCTCATGACTTCATTGTATTGCTCTTATTTGGATTGAATCTCGGTGCATTTATGCTCTCTGCTTGTACACGACTACTTGGACATCTGTGTGATTTCGCAACTCGACTTTTTGTATATCGTTCCCACTCAAATTCCTTGCAATTTGGTATCGGAGCTGGTTTGTGAACGCTTTACCCGCCGCCGGCGACATTGTTACTTGGTGTGCTGACGATGCTTCTGTGAAGTGAGGATACATTGGCGTTGGCTTGTTGAGCGGGACCCAGGTAGAGGGGTCGGCCGTTGGAAGGTTGTGGGGACAACATGGGAGTTGTGGCGACAACGGATGTATGTTTGATGATGAGAGCATGCTGATGTGGCATTTTGGCAGAGGTGGCACTGCATTGCGTTGTGGGTGATACCAAAGCTATGACTGGTCATCGAAATGCACATCGGCTCAATTGGTGAGAAATATGTGGTTGGGGGCAGCTATCTCCAGGTACGTTGTTCCCTTGCCTTATCTACCCTGTTATGATCCTGGTCATTTCCAAAGTGCAAATTCACAATGAAAGACAATGCCACCCAATTGCGAAAGAAATGGAAGCACCTGCAAAGAGATAGAGACTAGAGGAGAGAGAAAGAAGAAGAAGAAGAAGAAGAAATCAGGGTAAAAACCAAATCCAACCGTTCACAGGAGGGAAAGCAAAAACCACAATTGAAAAAAATTTCCAATTTCATCTTTGCTCGCCAAACACCAAAAACTTAATTACGCAATCCTCGACGCGTTTCGACCTGCGCGTACTACAGGTCTCTTCAGGAGGGACATCACTTCGAATGATAGGTGAGAGGACGAAGATCCTCCCACCTGCTTTTATATCACGCGACAGACTGTAAATCTGTTGAAGGTTATATTTCTACGTAGGTTCGAATCCGGCCTCTTTACATTGTATTCTTCCCCACGCCTTCCCTTACCTCTCCCTCCCATCGTCACCAAGTCACTCCCACGTCGGCTACCAAACCCCTCCACATCCGATTGGTCCGCACGTTGAGCGGCATCATAGTGTGCAAACAAAAGAGAGTCAAAAACTCAGGGTGATGCCACAAAGCATCAGCAACACGATTATAACAACCTTTCTTATGTTTCAGTTCAAAATTGTACACATCAATGTCATGCAACCAGCGGGTCAGCGTCGGGGAGAGATCGGTTTGTGTCTTAATCCACTACAAGGTCTAATGATCTGAGTAGACCTGGAAGTGACGACCCGAGAGGTAGTGCTTCCAATGTGTGAGCGCCTCGCGCAAGGCGTAGAGCTCACGCATGCGGAGGTAGCTACCTTGTGGCTGGGCATGCGTTTGCTGTAATATTCGAGCGGATGCAGACCATCACCATCATCTTGTTGCAACACTGCACCAATCCCAAACTGGCTCGCGTTCGTAGTAACCACAAACGTGAGGTTGGGATCCGCAATGCGGAGCACAGGATGACTCACCGATGCCTCTTTCAAGGCTTGGAATGCAGTCTCACATTTCTCACACCACGCATAGGCAACATTCTTACTTGTTAGTCTCGAGAGTGGGTGAGCAATGACAGAAAATTTGGGCACAAACTTCCGATAATACGAGGCCAAACCTAGAAAAGAATGCAATTCACGTACGTTTGCCGGTTGAGGCCACTTTCGTATGACCTCAACCTTGGTTGCCTCCGGCTCAAGGCCGTTTGCAGACAACCGGTGCCCAAGATAGATGACGTTGTCCCTTCCAAACTCAGATTTCTCTAAGTTGAGGTGCAGCTGTGCCTCCTTGAGGACCTGCAAAACCTCCTCAAGGTGCTCGACGTGCTCTTCCATGGACTTGCTGAAAATCAGGATGTCATCGAGGTAAACAAGAACAAACCTGTTAAGCTGATGGTAGAGAACCTTGTCCATGAGGCACTGAAATGTGGCTGGTGCATTCGTAAGACCGAAGGGCATAATGATGAATTCATACAGCCCATCGCGTGTTTTGAATGCAGTTTTGTGCTGGTCACTCGGATCAACTTCAATCTGGTGGTAGCCAGACTTGAGGTCGATCTTGGAGAAGACCTTGCACCCACCTGCCGCATCTAGCAGATCATCTATGCGAGGCAAAGGATAAACATTCTTTCTGGTGATCCAATTCAGGCCACGATAGTCAATACACATCCGGAGTTTGCCTCCTTTCTTCGGTACAAACAAGACAGGTGCACCGAACTCAGACTCACTAGGCCTAATCCATCCACGATCGATCATGTCATCAATTTGTCTCCTCAACTCCTCCAACTCGCCTTGTCCCATACGGTAGACGCAACCCTTTGGAGGAACACTCCCTTTTATTATCTCGATTTTGTGTTTGACCGGAGGCTCGGGAACTCCACGAGGTTCAGCCAAGACTTCAGGAAATCGATCTTATAAACGACGAATGTTTGTTGGGACTTCCGGTGGAGGATCATCCTCATCAGGAGAGAGAAAATCAGATTGAGAATTTACAGCAATTACAACTGAACTCGAAGTACTTGGATCAGAAGTAGACTGATTATTCACAGTAGAAGTAGATGGAATAGGAGTAGAGGTGGTAGAAGTAGATTTACTTTCCGAGGTAGAAAATGCAGCAAAAGTAGAAGGCACATGGAGAGGCTTTACAAGAGCTACATGTACATGCTCAGCTTCCTTGCGCCTGCGCACTGATTTGCAGAATTTGTTCGCACTCAAAAGAGTCACAGGGGACTCGCGAGTCTCGTCCAATAGAACGGTACGCTCGTTCCCCTTGGCATCACGCACCACGAACTGATTATCCGCCCACGTGGTCCTTAGGCAATGAGCCTTTAACCAGCCCAAACCAATGACCACGTCGAACGGACACTTGTCCATGACATAAAAGTTCAGCTCATGTGTGACAGTGCGATCCTTGTCAAAAGTGACACGCACACCTTTGACAACATGTGTTGAGGTGACAACCTCTTGGTTGCCCACCTGGGTCTGACAAGGGTTCTGCAAGTCCACTTGCTTCATTCCCAGGCCCGCCTTACGAATCCCGTTAGGAGAAAAGAAGTTAGTCGTTGAGCCATTATCAAACAGCACACGGATGGATCGGCGGTTAATGAGTAACTTAAAGAAGGTTAGCTCCACACTCCCTTAAACACGGCATTGCTGCTTGAGCTGCAACCAATGTTCCAGGTGAGAGTGAAAGTCAACTTCCTTAGTCTCTTCCCAAGGCTCAGTGTAAAGTACTTGGACTGCACCAGCCTTGGATTCAGCAGTAGTTCGGGCTTCAAGAGCAAGCTGTTGATCAGGTTCAGGCTCCTTGGAAGGGCCTGCAGCTGACTGTTCAACTTCCATTGCTGTAGAGAGTGCTGATGACTCCTCTACGCCCTTTGTCTGTTTCCCTGCACACGATAACAATCCTGCACAGCATGCCCAAGCTTTTGACAATGCAAGCACACGCGAAGTTTGGATTTTCTTTCCCATTCCTTTTGACTGATGCGGAGGGTTTCCCAAGGCTTGGTAGAAGCGTCCTCCGTTTTCTCAGGGATCTTCGCATTCTTGGGGAGGTGTGCTATAGTTCCCTACCCGAACCACGGTTAGGCCCCTTACTTGAAGCAGTCTTTTTGAATGCATTAAATTTTTCTTCTTCATTCACGTCAGACTCAATGGCTGATGTAGAACAGCCCGTACCGAAGTCCGGCTCTAGATCGTCATCTAGAGACAAATCATCCGTGTAGGACTGATCTTCAGCCTCCCGATGTTCATGCAGGGCAAGCTGGTTGTTGCTTCCATACCGCTTGCGTTGTGATTTTCTACGTGCAGCGGGTGCCTTTATATGCCTGGTGAGGTCCTTGGCCTCTAGGTTGACTAGATCCGTTGGTAGCTCTCGCCAAGTGGTATGGTCTTTGAGTCCTAGCAGGGAGAGGTATTCTTTAGGGGCCACTCCCACGACTACATCCATGGAAGACACGTCGGTCATTCCCAGGTTTGGAGTGGTGAAAAAACCAGTCAAGTGCTGTTCCAAAGCCTGCATGGAGGTCCTCCACGTTTGGCCCTTGAGGGCCTCAAGCGTCAACCTTGCCTTGAGCGCAACGTGCTTATCTTGAAACCACGTGATGAGGAGGTCCTCAAGAGTGCGTACAGGAGTTACTTTCAGCCACTCAGTCAGGTCAATCCTCTCATAACCTGCTGAAACAGCTTGGAGTTCTATTAAATTCCGTACGACGGGCTCAATATTTGTGCCCATGATCATGCTTCGGTCTTCCTGCGGTGTTCGCAGTACCTCGAAGTATGAGCGCATGGAGCTAATCCAAGAGGTGATGTCCCCTTTCCCGTCGTACTTGGCGATAGAGTGGCCGCCCGCTTGTCCACTACGGGACCGCTGTACTGTACGCCAGTAAGAACTGCGGCATTTTGGGCTGATGTTCATGCATTTGGGACTATGACCAGTGCGGAACTGCCGGCGCTGCCGCTTGAGGAGATGGCACCGGTTCCTGTGCTCGTCACAGTTCCGCTTGCTCTTGTCATGAGGACTGTTAGGTTGAGAGACTGGGACTGCAACAGGTCGAGGGTTAGGAGGACGGGGGGCATACAGTTGGGACTGCTTGAGGCTGACTATCTCAGCCTGCAGCTCTTGATTTCGCTGCTCCAGGGCTGTCACACGGGACTCAAGGTCTTCCAGGGTCCGCTGAACCAAGGCTGCTACGGCAACAGCTATCTTCTCTCGGAACCGGTCATCACTCGATTCCGGAACCGCAAGGAGGGCCACCTGTTCAGCAATGCTTGTGGCTCTGGCTGCTGCCTTTACCTCCCTTTCCCTCTGTACGGCATCGTCATAAAGTTTTTGAAAGAACGGTTTCTCGTTCTCGTCCGCTGCGTCCAGCATGGCCTGCCACTGGGCAGATGAGATGTTTGCCATGCTGGAGGAAGGGGTGATAGTAGATCTCTCAAGAGGGGTCCGCTCTCTCTTCACGTTTGGACGAAAACTCCTCTTGCCCTTCCTCACACTTTCAAAAAGAACACCTCTCTCCCTTCTCTCTCTTTCCGCTTTCCGCGCACGCGTCTCGATACCGGACATAGATAGTTCAGATAAAAGAAACAAACAGTAAATCACAAAGAGTAGAAGGTAGATCTCCTAGCCGGAGCGGCAAATTATTTGGACTTAGAGAATGACACGCAGCAAAATAAAGAAAATAATAATAAAATTAAAAAATAAATGGAAGAGAGGACTGACTTATCGAACGGGCCTGATCAGATTAGCTGGAGATCCCCTCTTGTCTAACCCGACAAGGGACATGTGCCACAATAAATCAGCCGAAGAAAACTAATTGCAGCAATGGAGATTTCGAGGGGTGCAGACGGTCGCCAAGCCAGACGCGGGGCAGTATGTGATAACATGCAGTAAGACCAGTCAAGATCCCCTTGAAAGGAATGCCCTTGCTAGCCGTATGTCCCCCAAGTTCAGCACAGCAAAGAGATGCATTGACGGCAACAGATTTGGGCCCTAAAGGTCCTGTCCCGTTGGGCCTGGTCCCACTGAGTCCCGAAGGTCCCAAGTAGGTCGTGGACCAGGACCAACGAGATAGGTGTACCAAGTCAGTCCCAAACTGCCTCTACCGTACTGAAAAGGAAAAGACAACTTTCAGCAAGAACTGACCCCTACAGCCGTTCAGAAATGAAAAGACATTGCACCATAGAAAGATATGTCATTTAGAACAGATACATCATCCATCCATCCATCAGGTGAGAATGCAATCCACATGCTCACACACACAACCAAGACCGCAGAGAGGAGGAAGAGAGCCCAGCACACCCCAACAGGCCATGAAGCACCAAGCAACCTCCCACGGATATAACCAGGTCACACGGCACTTACCTGTGAGGCCCGGCCTCCAAAGATGGATAACGACTCACCCCCCTCTCTCATAAGTCCTCCTGACCCCTAGCTACCACTGCACGAAGTGTCCTAGCATGACTAAGAGGGCCTTCCTACACCCCTGTTGCAACACCGGATCCCCCGCCGATGTCTGCAGACCAAAGCAGCAACTTGCAGCTCTCCGATGCAGATATGGCAGCCTCCGATCAAGTCTCCCTCTTGAGGGGAAGCCCAAAAGTCACTCAATGTCTTCTTGAAGTGCAGATTCCAGGTGCGAGTACCTCTCACTCTCTACTCCCTCTCGCTTGCTCCAATCAGCCTCCTTTGTGTCTCGCCACCCCATCCAATCACTCAAGCAACCTGGTCAGGTCTGATGTCGACCCTACATGACCTAACCAGGTGGGGGCAGTATCCACATACCTCACTGCCCCTCTTAACCCTAACTTCCCAACCCTAATCCGAGATTAGGTTAGCCCTAACCTAATTCGGAATTAGGTTTAGGGTGACTAACACCTCTCGCCAGCAAGTAAGTCCGCTCCGATACCAATTGTTACGATCCTGGTCATTTCCAAAGTGCAAATTCACAATGAAAGACAATGCCACCCAATTGCGAAAGAAATGAAAGCACTTGCAAAGAGATAGAGACCAGAGGAGAGAGAAAGAAGTAGAAGAAGAAGAAGAAGAAGATGTGCACCAGCAAGACCAATGACAATTCCCCCTTCTCTCTTCACCTTCCTCCTCCTCCTTCACTTCGCCAATCTTATTCTACTCCCAATAATAATAATAACAATGAATGGATGAACCAGAATCAATAACCGAAGTTCCCTCTTACTGCTGACTCAACAACAACAACAACAACAACAACAACAACAACAAGTCCACCATAGCTATGGCTTCCCTCCTTCTCCCTCCTCTCTCATGCATAGGCTGTGGCGGACTACTGAGGGCCCTGCCCTCCTGTCCAAAGGACAACCCAAAGCAGCTATGGCGCTGCACTCCTGTCCAGAGGACAACCCAAAGCAGCTATGTTGCTGCCTACTGGTCCGCCATGCCTGACTCTGCCTCGAGCTTCCTTGGTGCGGCACTACCCCAACTGGGGCCTTCCAGATGCAGCGCCCAACAAGGTGATGAAGATGGTGTCCACCATAGCCAGGTAGGTGCCTTGCCACTCTCCTCCTTCGCCCCCCTTCTTCCTCCTCCTCAGGCTGAGCTGCTCGCCATAGCCAGGCTGAGCGCCAGCTGCCCTTCACCTCCAAGCAGCACTGTATCAGCCAGCGCTGTGCTCCAGCATCATGTCGCCAATCCTTGCATACCGCAAATGAGGAGGAGCTACTTGCTCCTCCGAAAGATATAGCGGCCTACTGGCCTCCTGGGCGGTGACTTCCTAGGCCGAGCGGCCTCCCAGCAACCGGTACATCCTTCCTTTCGGAGGGAAACATCATTGCAGGCTCTGCTAACCTCCAGACAGGCCCTAGACCCGGGCTACTTGGACTGGTACCGGCCTACCTCTAGCCTACCGCTACTGGGCCTCTAAAAATGCCAACTTTTGTCTTCTTCTGCTCGGCCTCCAATACTCGACACTTCTACCACTACGTCAGTGGTACCGGCCTACATGCTACTTGAGTGTTTTTTTCCCTCTGCTCTTAAGTGTCGTGGGTCTACCCCCGCTACTCGAGTGTTTTCCCCCGCTGCAACCCTCACAGTCACGGCCACAGGTAAGTACCGGCCCTGCTGGGCCTTGCAACCAACAAGTACCCTTGCGGGTCACACACACACTCAACCGACAAGCACTCAGACAGGCATGCAAACCAGCAGGCACGTACACACACACACACAGACTTGGAAACCACAGCAGAATGCGGGAATCACAGCAAGGCATTCATTCCAGTGGCAAATCCCAGAAATCAGCAGTGTTCTCAGTCTGTGTTTTTGGCGGGTCATTACACATATATTAAAGCTCAGCGATCAAGGTTCACACGAGAACACTTTTCTCGAACAATTCATCGCAAGGTTAAAAGCGACAAAACAATATCCTGGGACTCAAACTGGCATGCCATCCTACAGACGGACTACAGACCTCATTGACACAACATGGGAAGAGCTCAGATTGACAGGACGAGACAGGCTTGAGGTGGTGGGGTACGTGGGAGGGAGGAAAGACAACATACAGCAGCAAAGGGCAGGGCGGTGAGCCAAAAAAGCAACAAGCAGCAACAAGAGGCAGGCAGGAGGGCATGGGGAAGGCGTGTGGGCAGACAAACAACATAAGGCATCAAAGGAAAGAAACAGCAAGCCAAAGATTTACAATTCCTACCAAAAACAAAAAAAACAAAAACTGATGATGATACAGTGTTTCATCAGAGTTACAACGACTCATCAGGAGGCTGAAGGCTTGACAATCTGCGGAATTCCCATATTGATGCTTTGGGTCATGAACCCTGTGACCCTTGTTGAAAGCAGACTGCCAGCAGGCAACATCAACAAGCGGGAAACATTGCAGCAGGCAACGACTCGGCGAAGCACCAGGTAAGAGCTAACTGCATGGAACGACAGCACAAGCGGACGGGCAGCATGGAAACGACACAGCGAAGCACAGAGCAGTGCTCCAAACGTGGCAAGATGGCACGACACACAAGCAAAACACGTGGAATGGCAAGGCAATGCATGGCTAGCGGGCAGGCAGCAAGGCAGCAGAGAGCGTGGACAAGGCAGTCCACAAGCTCAACACAGACGAAAGCCATACATCACCTATTCACACCACAAGAAGAACCCTTCAGACTACTGGTTCCCACGGCCCGTGGAGGTGGGGAGTCGCTCCGACAAACACCCATCCTGTAGAAGACGGTAGGACGTCCCGAATTGAGCGGCCTCCCTAATAGTGCTGCAGGCACTCCAAACGAATAATGACCTTAGAGGTGCTCGCCTAGCTACATAGGAACTACTTTTAAAAAAAAATGGAGAAAGACATACAGAATAAAGAAAGACAGACATGATGACATCCATAAAACAGATTGCGCGTGTCTGTGTGTGTTGTAGGATGCCACCACAACAACCCTGTTTCCATGCAGATGAGCAGATCCAAAACTGAAACAGCTTCGGCTCTATAGCAAGCAATACGAAGCACACAAAGATGAGCAGAGCCAAAATTGAAACAGCTTTACCTTTATAGAAAACAGCATGAAGCACAACAAAACCATTACATTCCTTGTGTGGTCCTTTCTCCACTTTCTTTACTTTGGCTTTCTTTGGGGTACCCCTTTGTTTGCTCTTGCGGCTTGCCTTTTACTGTGCCTCTAACATACAAAGCTTGCCATGTTGATTGCGGTTGAGCGGAAGCTGCCCACATCTCCGTGTGCCATAATGGCCCACTTGCACTCTATGAAAGGTGTGTGTGTGTGTGTGTGTGTGTGTGTGTGTGTGTGTGTGTGTGTGTGTGTGTGTGTGTGTGTGTGTGTGTGTGTGCATGTGCATGTGTGTGTGTGTGTGTGTGTGTGTGTGTTTGTGCATATCAGTTACCACATTGTGAGAATAAGAAAAGAATGTGTGTGTGCATCACCATCGTCGAAGGCCTAAACGAGTATGAAACCAAGGGACACCCCAATGAGTGCCAGCATCCTGTTTGCTGCTGAAAGTTGTGAAGGCCAGACCCCACTTGCACTATGTTGAAGAGAAAGCATGAACTTGGTTGTAAACTTCGTTAAGGTCATGCGAACTCAACACAGACATGGCACCAGAGTAGTCTGGCCTTGGCCCTGGTGCACCAGATGCCCTGTTGGATCCCAACTGAGGGTTAATGAGCTCATGCTCTGATGTGTCAGCGGTTATTCAGTCCCGTTAAAGCAAAAGGAGGAGGTCAATCTTCAACATGTATTTATGGAAAAAAGATCCGATGCTGCCATGACAGTGCAAGAGCCAAGCGAAATTGGCCTCATGTACCTTCCTGGGCAAGCTTGGCGCCCGCCACCTAGAGATATGCCGTTGGTCCCCCCGAGTGGCATTGAGCAGAGACTGCTGATGTTCATAGGGGGAGGGGACCGGAGGGGAGGCACAGTGACTGGCCCATCGAAGAAGCTTGGTCTACCGGCTGACCCCTGGCCGGTATCGCCCACCTGCTGTAGCAGGTATCGCATCTGCTGGTGGGTGCAGCTCCCGCATCTTCCCTCGTTGGAGGCTTGAGCACGGATGTGGCTGCTACGGGGTTCCCCGTAATACTAGAATGAGTATTAATGACAATGAAAAAGGCCTGAAAGGCCGTCCTGTCCAGATTTGACAGGTAATTGAATTGGTTCGGCTTAAAAGAATTAGCCTTTAAAATAATTATAAAAAAAAACTTTACATGAAAAACAAAGTAAGGGACCTGCCTCATGGCTGAATGGTAGACACTCATGTAACTGTTAATAAACAGATGAGGAGTTCGAGTTCTGATGGATACAATCAGGGTTGCCAAACCCCGGCCCCAGACCCCCGCCGGGGGTCCGCACCGGGGTCCGCACTGGGGGTCCAGGGTCTGGGGGTGGGCACCCCAAACCCCGGCTACTGGATCCCTCCCCCCCCAAAAAAAAATATAAAAAAACAAAGTGGGGGGTATGCAGCAAGAGCCTGCATCCCGTGGCCCCACCCTGCAAAAGTGCATTTTTACCCCACCTCGGGG